AGCATCAAACAACAACAACAACAACAACATAGCCTTTCAGTCCCAAGCAAGTTGAGGTAGGCTAGAGTTGAAACCCACCAAGAGCCCCAAGTCACGGTTCTTACAAGCATCAAAACAACAATACTTTCCTTAGTAATCTCTCAAATACTTTCCTGTCTTCAAATTCTGCATTAAGGCATACAACTATTGTTGAACCTGGGTTGCTCCTTAGTAACTCAGCTTGGTAGTCATACACCCTTGTGTACTCACCCTTCATACCATCCAATGCAGCATTGAGCACTAAAGACTTGGCCCTCTTGCACTTGGATATGGACACATCAGCTAGAAAGTCTTTGAGCACAGCTTGCTTGAGAAGACCCACCTTCCAAGTTGGGTTATCATTTATCTGGTTGTAGTAGTGTTTGGCAATCCTTGTGGAAGTCACCAATTTGTTGTCCCTCCTGGGTGGGCAGGTGTGCTCGTCATGAAATGTGACAATCTTGAACCATTTTGACCTGCTAGTCTTTGATCCATATATAAGCCAGTTACAACCTTCCCAACTACAGATAGCCCTTACCTTTAATTTCTCATCCTTGATGAAATTCAGATGCCTATGTGTCTTCAACCCATACTTTATCAATGCTTTCTTGAACTGTCTACTACACCTAAAAGTCATTCCAAGAGCAAATACAGGCACTGGTGCTTTGCTATCATACCTGTTCTCCTAACTCTTCCACCTATCTGTTTCTCCTTCACTGTTTTCCTCATATGAGTACTCATCACTTGAATCACAATATGGACTGCCTAGGTCTTCCAAGTTTATTGGTTCTTCTTCTTCAACCACCACCAAAGCTTTCTCTGTGATTTCTCCAAGCTGACTAAAATACAGACCAACTTTCTTAGCCTTGATGTTCCTCCTGATTTCCTTAGCAAACTTCCTCAATTTTACTACTTCTTCATCATCTGCAGAACTGTCCTCATCTGTAGGCTGCTTGTACTCTTCATCTGAGGAGTCATCTTCTTCTTATTCTGCTATGAACTCATCTCCTGCTTGTTCTTGTTCCTGATCACTACCATCTTCTTCTTCTTTTGCTATGCTGTGTTCATGAACTGGCTTCTCAGGACAAATATTCAACCATTCTTCATCACCAGATCACTGAACCTGCATTTCTTGAACTCCTAATTCCTCAGCATAAATATCTGCAATTTCACCATAGCTGGTGCCATCTGCCATCAGCTGACATGACATATCATCAACTAGTAGCACTAGCCCATTTGACAGCTCTTTGCCCGGTTTCAGCCAATGCATCCAGACAACATTATCAGTTTTGAAGTGATCCTCTAGGTGCCCTTTGATCTCAGGTAGCGAAATCTTGTCTAATTCTATGTAACTCATACCAATGTCTCCACCAACATACAAGATGAGCCCATCAATGCTCTGAAAAGACCCACCAAAGTGGAACCGAACAGCAAGAGTATCATTGTTGTCCATCCTACGACACAAACAACACATCGATCAATGATACTGAACAAAACTCGTTCACATGTTCCATCAGAAAATGCATTTTCAAACTAAAATAGGTACACAGCCAAACGCCCAAACCCTATGCACTCAGACCATCGGAAAATGCGCAACAAAAATCAAGCGGGAAGGAGTATTGAGTGAACTCACCTTGACCCACGAGGTGGAGGCGCTGCCCGGCCTGGAGGCGGAGGCGGCGCGCCTGAGGCGGCACGCCGCCTCTCGCCCGAGTCGAGTCGAGGCCTCGCCTGCCCCGGAGGCGGCGGCGGCGCCAAGACACGGCGTGGAGTAGAGGCGGCGCCCAAGCCACAAGTGTGGTGTAGGCTTAGACGGTTTTAAAGGTCACGGTTTAGGAAAATTTAATGTGCTGCTTAGACGGTTTTAAAGGTCAGGGGTTGGATCAACCAGAGTGCCAAACCTTGGGGGGCTACGTAGATTTTTTCTATTTGCAGGGCACGGTCCAATATGTATTAGAATCCGTATTTATCATTCCTAGATGCGAGTCTTAAGTCGTATGAGTATTTTTTTTTGAACAAAACCATGGGGCAAAAGGCCCCTGGAGCACAAAAAAAACTTAAAAAGTCGTATGAGTATTGATCATGAATCAGGATCACATAGGAGATATGAAGGAAACTCTTCACTGTTTGGGTAGCTAAGGGGAGGTGGGCGAAAAAAATGGATGGAGATAAATTTTACCTCTTTAATATTAGGTATAAATAGATATAGATTGTATACATTATTAATGGACCGATGGTATAATATATACACTTGGTCACTCAGTCTCTCGATGACTCGGTCAATCAACCACATGGATAATATAGTAGCCAAATAATCATTTATAAAATATATAAAACTTAATGGGCTAATGGTTACAACATATGAACTCGATCACTCAGCTCAGCTGCTCAGCCACTAGACCACTCAGCCATTTGGCCCTTTATGATGGTTGTTAACTCTCACATCTGACCATCAACACCCGCATAAAAAGGACAAATGTCAAACCATAACCATAGTCATAGGATTTAATTCTAACTAATCTATGACCCCTTTGCTTCGCTGAAAAAACAAGCCGAAACACTGTTCCACTTGATTTGTTGCGAGAGGAAAACACTGTTCCGGCTGAAAAAAAAAACAAGCTGAAAAAGACGGATTATAAGATAAGCGAACAGGGCCTATAACTCTTATAATCCCCCACTAGCTATGTATCTCAACATGCAAGCTATCCAACTCAATAATGCCCTGTCACATACAATTAAAACACACTAGCACATGCAATTGTAACAGCAAGACACATAAGCATTTGTTATCCACGTCAACATGTCACACAATCTACTAATCCATAATTCCCGCAGTAACGCACGGGGTATGCTTCTAGTTCCACAAGTTTTGATTACTATGTGAATAAAGGAACAAGTGTGCAAAAATGGGCTTGACATGAGTCTGGTGACCGGCCCATGGTCGGCCGGCTCCCATTCACACACATGGCAGGGAAACACGCTGCCAAACACTTCTGTATGTGGATTGCACATTGGTTTGATCAAAGGATTCACAAGATGTATCACATGGATATATGGGTCCACCTAATGGAGGCCAAATACATAACTGCACCAAACTCCACCATGAAATTGGCACCGGAGTGTGGAGCTACTCACCGACAAAAGACGGCATTAGCCAACCTCTAGGGGGTTGAGCGGCAGTCTAGTAAGGCCAAACCGCCTCAACCTACTCGAATACCCTCCTATCTACTCCAAGAACAAATCTCAACCGGTTATACACTAAATAGGTGCATTGAAGGGTCGGTCGACCCTATTGTCAGCCCAAACTAACTCATTTTAGCCTACAAGTACCCCTGCCATCCTAAGTCTATAAATGGAGGCTCTTGACTCACTCTCAGGTATAGCAAGGAGTACTCGTTCGAAGATCAAGACGAAGACCTACCTCTATCAATGTTTTCCTAAACGCTAAATGGTAAACAGTTGGTCACCTACCGTTTAGCCATTATTCGGGCTAAACAGTCTATTAAATGGGCTAAACGGACAATTAAACGGGTAAACGGACGATTAAACGAAAACGGAGCACCACCGTGTAGCGTTTACATGGTGTTTAAGCGGACTAAACGGCTGTTTAGGCGAACAATGACCTCTAGAGTTTAGAAAATAGGGAGAGGGAGAGTGCGGGGAAGAGATGGGTTTGCCGACATCTTCTCTAATGTGTGCCTCTACTGATGCATGCTCTTCTTTGAGTGACCATCTGGAAATATTTATGGTTCCCTGTTTTTTTATAACTCACCTCAGATTCCAAATTATAAGACATTGGAGACGACGCCCGAAGTTGAGACAGAAATTGTCGGTGCCGCAACAGACACCCAAATCCACCATCATAGACGCATGGAGCTGTAACGACGATGGCCAAATGGGAGCTGCAACGATGATGGCCGAATAGGAGGCGATCGGGGTGAGTTGTGGCTGATCCGTTTTACAAATGGGCGAAGTTTATTTTATTGAGACACCTTGCAAGTTGCAACCATGGCATCCAACGAGGAGCACGAGCAGCCATCCGGCCAAAATTTAAAGCACTCAATAGGGATAGGAGGCCGGCCCTTCCCACTCTCGTCGCTGGCGAGGACACCGGAGGAGAGCGAGGGGGGCGGATCTGAGATGCACAGCGGCGGCCAGCCGGCCGCGGCTTGGTTTCAGAGAGACGACTCCCCCCAGCAGCTGCTGTTGGTAGAGGTTGGAAGAGAGAGAGGTCAAACTGCTTCCTGTTTGTTGTCGTCAGTCATTCAGCAGTCAGCATGCAGTCGTCAGTCGATGATGCTACCTGCATTTTAATTGTGGAGATGTCATCATTGCAGCATGGCAGACGTCGATTGAATAAGAGTTCTCTGCAATTCGAATTCATTCAGCAGGACTTGATTTTGATTCATTCATGGATCAGCCAGCCAGCCTATAGCAGCTAGGCTATGTTTGTAGGACGTGGCAACTCACATGGACTGGCAGTATACTAAACTGCTCAAGAAACGGACACATCATAAAGCAGAAACAAGGAAATGCTAATAGTAGCTATACTATGAAGAGGGATGACTCGATTAGACATTTCATCATCATATACAAACAAAAGATATCGAGAAAATCACTCCAGCGAGCACCTATAGGCTACAGATCAATTATATTATTTCGTACAGCAGAATGAAAATTACACAACATATAATACTGCCATTATAGTATTGCAATTAACCAAGGTGCTCAGGAGTAGCATAGCAGTACCATAGTAATATAGCAATTAACCAAGGTTCTCAAGAGCAACACAAGTACATAACCAGCTAAAGCTAATACCCAGCAAAAGTACCATACTACTACCATGGCTCCAGAGTTCTCAAAGGTAATTGAATTCCTATTGTTGAATACCAAACTAACATGAGACTCTACCAGTACTAGAAATCATCATCCGAGTCAGAAGGATCACCCACGGGGCCCTTGTTGCCACTTGGTCCAACACCCTAATGAGTGGGAGCAAGTGCATTCTGTGGGTCGTAGTCATCCTCAGCATCTTCAACAGCCCCAAAAGATTCATCATCTTCACTGTCTAAACTCGCATTATCAGTCAAACTAGGCACAAGACTTCCATATCCAGGATAAGGCCTACGCAGCTTGCGGTCCTCAAGGGTGTATGATCCACCGGTGACTTCTTCAACAACTTCCCATATAAGATTCTCCCTACTATAGAGTTGTGCAGTTTGCATGCCGACCCATTCATGGTCAAACTCATAGCATTCAAGGATCAAAGGTTCAAAGTTGCTTCCTTCTAACTGCTGTCTTTCAGACCTATCAGATATCATCAGGTTATGTCGGGCATAAGCCCTATTCTCCAATTTCTTGCGGTCTGACTGTTTCATAGTTATAGTGTGGATCTGAAAAGTACAGACAGAAACAAAGGGTGTCAGTTAAGTTATATTCCTCAAGGCAAAGAAATCATATGCCAATCTGTTATTGCTGATATTCACTTATTAGTCACTTACACAGTCAAACATAGTCCAATTGTGGTCATAGCCAGATGCTGAACAATAAAGACCAACAATACGACATGCAAACTTTTGAAGCTCTCCAGCAGACCCACCATAGGCACCCCACCAATCATCTAAATGTAAGACAATGCAAGGCATAATAAATAAATTATAAAAACTTGCAAGGAAAGAAAACCTTTGCAGTTGAATAAAGAGAGAAAGTTATACCATTCACAAAAATCTAAAAAGTAAAGGAAATTTTAAAATTGAATATAGATAGAAGTTTACTTACTTGGACTCTTTTTCTCATCTTGCAGGGTTAGTAATTTCTTCCCAAAGCTACTTTCAGCCCTCTCGTATTGATCAGCTTGGTCCCTTACCTTGGCGATCAAATCGTCATCATCAACAATCATTTTCTCAATCACATCATTGAACATTTCCCGTAGACTGGAAGCATAAGCAAGGTCCTTTTCTTTGATGTCGAAAATTTTGTTTGGATTCAGAAATAAAGCAGCCCCATATAGTTTTTGGATTCACACAAACCAGCCAGCAGTACTTCTTCACGAACCAGCAACGATACGAACCAGCCAACCGAACAGGCTGTAGAATCTTGCATGCAGCTTTAAGGTTATGGCTGTTATCAGTAACAACCTGAACAACTTTGTCCCTGCCAACTTCGCCAATCCTTTCCTCTATCAGTTCTGCCAATAAATCTGCATGATCTGTTGCATATGAAGCATCAGCAGAACCCAAGAAGAAAATCCCCTCCACACTACCCACCATGAAAGTGAGCAAGTGAAGATGCCTCCCAGGATGGGTCCAAGAATCCACCATGAGCGTGCAACCATGCCACTCCCAAGCCCTCTCATGCTTCTTCCTCCGTTCAGCCACCCAGTTCATCACCTCCTCAGTGAGAGGCCCACTCAACTCCTCTTGGCTAGGGAACTCGTAGTTTGGTCCACACTGTGCAATGGTCTCCATCAGAACTTTAAAGCTTCTACTGTCGATGATGCTGGGAGGAAAACCATTCTCTTGCAGGAACTTGGCCATAAGCTTGACAAACTTTGCCTCAGCTGAGCCCTCGGTTGGTGGTTCTTGGTCTGACATATTTCGCTTTAGTTGCTACTGCAAGAGATGAACTTTGGGTCAGTAATTGATGGAACAAATCTTGTTACAGGAAAATGAATTTACTTGCAAGAAAGCATCTATCCATAAATTGGATGAATCGATACACTAATTTAGTAGCTAAAATGTAGAATCAGCTTCTGATGTTGCTATTATTGGATCCCAGCTAGGTGATGTAATAACTCAAACCCCATTTGGGCCAAAAAGAAAACCTGTGTAAAAAAAGAAAGGTATTTCACTTCCTGTGTCCTCCCTTTTGTCCCCTGTGGCCTGTGGGAATGATGATTGTACAGAATACAGATGTAGTGCTGACTAATCTTGCGCAGAGACAAAAGAGTTGGACTGCTAAATATCCACGTAAAAAATCATCTTGTATACATGGAGAAATGCGTTTGCTTGCAAAAAGAAATCATATAAAGAATTAATCTTATTGGGCAGAAAAAAGAGTTTGTTAGGTTAAAAATGGATCAAATCTGCAGCTACCTCGGCAACAAATCGAAATTGAGAGGAAAGACAAATCGAAATAGAGAGAGAGAGAGACGAGGAAATGAATTTGTGCATCAAATCACAAAAAGTTTGGAAGGGAAATACAAGTTTGGAAGTAGGAGGAAAGAATCTGAATTCAGGTGTCAGGTCTCCTTACTTAATGTTTTTCTTATAATTTTTGTAGCCCTAGGAGATCTAATTGAGCATCTGAATCTGAATAAAGAAATCGATATTGCAAATCGAACACTTGTACAAGTGAACAATGCGTTTGAGGCCGAGAAGAAAGGTAAAGCATGTCCATTGCACACATCTTAGCACGTAAAAAAAAATGATCTCCTTACTGAATATTTTGCTCGTCTTTGTAGATCTAGTCATTCGAGTAAATCAACTTAGTCAAAGAAACAAGGAAACATCTAGAGCGTTTGAACATGAGAGGAAATATCTAGTTCATCGAATCGCAAAAAAAAAAAAAAGGAGGATAAATGCAACTTGAGTTACCTCTCAGTAAGGGCAGCCGGCCCTAATCGAGACTGAAGAGATGGCCCCCAGATCCTAGATGCGGAGGACGGAGTGGACCAATCCAATGAACCTGAATAGTGATTTTACAGAGAAAGAGGGGATTAGAAGGGGAAGAACAGATGGGGTCATGGGGAGAACACAGGGGGGGGAAGCCGAGGCCGAGAGGGAGCACCTGTGGCCTGCGAGTTGAGGAATGGAGGTGGAGAGCGCTGAGCAGACGCGTCCCGCCTTTTCTTCCTTGCTCGCGCGCTTTTTTTCGCTCGACGCGCTCGCCCGCGCGCTCGGCGCCCACGCGGGACAGCCAATTCGGCTGGACCGGGCTGGCGAGGACTTTCTTGCCCGCGGTGGCAAGCTCGCCTGGCATAGCTAGTTTTCTCTGCGCGCACCAAACAGGTACCCTTGCCTAGTTAGGCTAGGCCAGCCATTGCTTGGCTGAACAAAGAAACAAAGTAGACCCAGAGAGAGATGCTAACTGGGAGGGGTTGGGCCACGGTGGGTCGACCACAGTAGTACTACTGTTGTACTAGACGGCCATTGTCCATAGACGACGCCTAGAAAAGTAGGAATCCCCAAATCATGCTTCCCTATATCTTTCGGTGGGAATGTTAAGGCGTGAGGGCATGGTGGAAGACGGTGCCTTTGTAGGGTTTCGGCTCCTAAAATGATATTTGGATCTGACTTTTCACGTCTTCTCCGAAAGAGGTAAATTTATTATGAAAAACGTTTAGTAAAAATTGCTTCGATGATAGTTTTATAATAATTTATATTATATTTGTGAGGAGCGAAAAGAAGCCATATATTTCTTTCAACAAGCCCTGAAAAGGCTCCGACTCCTTCAGGCTCCTTACATGAAGCCCTGAAAAGTCGCAGCCCTGCCAAACGAGGCCTTAGAACAAATTGCTCTCTCCATCCTATAATATAGCGCATTCTGGTATCTGAAATTTACCTTGAAATATAAGGGATTCGGGGAAAAAAGATAATGTTTTCTTGAGGGGAGAAAAAAAGATAATTACTAAATAGAAATCGGATTTCAATAGATTAGAAAGTTAAGCGAAGGATACATGTGTCTATTTGTCGGGGTTAAGATATCCCGGGTATCTCAAGGCACCAATTAGTTAGTCGATCAGACGGCCCACAATACACAAAGCTAGTATAAGCCCGAGCAACAGCGACCCAACTAAGCTGTGTAGACGTGGGCTAGATACTGCGATGACGAGATGGCCACAACCTCCTCTTCTTCCCTTCGCCGCAAGACGAAGGACACCGCACGACCTCTCTCCCGTTCTGACCCCTGGGAGGGACGGGAGAGGTCGAACCCCGCCACGTACACCTGCCCTAACAAGAACAGACACGCCTGCTCGCTTCGCCAGGACCGAGAGGACAACCATCTTAGAGCAGGCGCCATCCCTACGCCACGCCACAGACAAGACAGGACCGCCAGGTGGTGACGACAGGTAGGATAACCACCATCCGAATACGGCCCGACGGGATGGGCGTATGGCCCCACCCACTATGGGATTGAGCTCACAACAGCAACCTTGAATTTCAAGGTTGTCCGAGCCAGCGAAGGCCACGACCCTAGAGCTTGGGATCGTGGCCATCGGCTCCACGACCGGCAAAACTACCAACTCCTGTACGACGAGCCTAGGAAATCAGGAGGCCAAGATGGAGACCACGTCACACAGGACGGCTGGCGAACCACCACCATACCAACAGTGCCGTTACGACCGGCACAGTAGCACCACACCACCCCATGCCATGATGTGGGCACAAGACCATGACGACAACCACGTCCGGGCGTGCGCTGTACCAAGACAAGATGACCTTCCATGCCGGCCAAGTTAGCTAGTTTCCCTCCCTCAGGCTCATGACCACTCGGTCGAGAGAACCTATCTCTTTGTATGTGGCCTGGTCCCGGACTCTATATAAGGGTAGCCAGGGCAGCCCTCCAGGGGGATCTGAAGATCACCTAGCTGATAGATCACCACTCTCCTACCTCATTTACCCTTCTTGCATACCCCATTGTAAGAACTTTAGAATATTCAACCGAGGAACATGCACTCGATCTTCTCTGAGATTGGACGTAGGGCTCCGGCCCGAACCATCCCTTTCCACCCCACTCTAAAGGCGCCCCGGAGCGGTTGTGAACCCGTCGGTGGGCCAACCTTTGAACTCCTAGGCCTGAATTGGCCGTGGGAGCATTTTCAGCTCCGTATCCCTCCTTACCTAGCGCGTCCTTTGAGGGAGCGGCCAGAGGTGGCGTGCGCACGTTGCTCGGAGAGGCGATGTGATGAGGCGCGGCGGGCGCGTTCGAGGAAGCGGCCAGAGGTGGCGTGCGCATGTTTCTTGGAGAGGCAATGTGACGTGGCACGGCAGGCATGAAGATCTAGGCGGACGGTTCACCTCTCGCTTCACCACACTTATAAATAGCAACCTCCCCCTTCATGTTTCGGCACACTAAACCGCAACCTTGCCTTCTCCGCCTTTCCGCCACCGTCGTTCGGATCTACTACCATTGCTAATCCACCGCCAGCGCCCTAGATCCATAGCCTTCGCTTCTCCGCCGCCGCCAAAAAGTCCTTGCTCCTCCGTCTTTGCTTTCCTTGGAGTCGTGGTACTGCTCCGACGTCACCCACGCACTCATAGAGGGCCTCGTCAAGCGTGGTCTTCTTCGTGGGAGGACCGACGCGATGGAGTGGCTATTTCCCAGCCACGAGGATGTGTTGATGCCGCCTGACGGTTACATCATCTCCTTCGTGCCCTTCCACGAGCGCGGGTTTGCAATCCTCCCTCATCCGTTCTTCCGGGGGCTGCTGCACCACTACCAGATCGAGCTACAACACCTTAACCCCAACGGGATCCAGCACATCGTGGCCTTCATCGCGATGTGTGAGGGGTACCTAGGGATCAAGCCGCACTTCAAGTTGTGGAGGTACTTCTTCGCCGTCTCTCTACACAGGAAGAAGGATAGGGGCAGGGTGATCTCGGTGCTGATGGGATGCGTGGGCATCCACCTTCGAGGGCAGTGGGCGGCCGAGTACATGCCCTGCCAGCTATCCAGATCCAACAAGGGGTGGCACGCGTAGTGGTTCTACTTGAAGAACGACCTCACCGACCCCTTGTCGGTCTTCACCGGGCGCCTGATTGAAGAGGCACCACTGACGTGGCCGTGGGGCCACCCGTCAAGGAAAATAAGAGGATGCGCGACATCCTCGAGGCCATCACATCCCTGAGGAACCATGGCCTTCATGGGGCCGGTGTCATCAGGGCATATCACACGAGGAGGGTGGCGCCGTTGATGGCGCACGCCCTCCCGCTATACGAGATGACGCCCGACGCATAGCTCGATGGGACGGCACTCGCCCAACGTGCATCAAGGAGGCAACGGATGAGTCCAACACCATGTTCCTAATCTCAGGACATCCCGTGATGTGGCTAGAGCTGGGCTTTATCGAGCTGCCAGCAGATTTGGGCTTTCGGGCCTCCGTCACGCCGCTGCCGGAGCACGTGGCCTTGAGGGCGGCGAACCGTGCTACAGATGAGCGGAGGAAGAAGGATAAGGATGACAAGGAGGCAAGGCGGTGGGCGAAGTAGCGCGAGAGGCTGAACCGAGGAAAGCGGCGACAGGGTTCGGAGAAGGAAGAGGAAGAAGAAGAAGGCGACGATTTCGGGTCGCCCGTCCAATGGGATGAGCAGGGCGGTGGGGACGAGGATCCATTTTGCCACATGCAGGGCCTTTTGCATGGCATGCCCTAGGGCAGGAGGGGGAGGACGTGCCCTCAAAGCCAATAGAATCAAGCCGCCCCGCTCTGTTCGGGCCTCCCGCGACGCCCCCGGAGTCAGCGGGTACTAGCCGCTCCGCTCCATTCGGACCCTCCGAGTAGAGGGAGGGCTCAAAGCGGCAACATGCCGATGAGGAGCAGCCAGGGTCACGCGGGCTAGCCCCAAAACGTCATCGTCCGATGGCATCGAGGTGA